TCAAATTCATTATTGGAATTGTGAAATCCCATATTTAAGTTGTCAATGTAGCAAGTGTGCGCGGACGTATTTTGGGTGTTGCATTTTTTGTGAAATCGCAAGAAAAGTTTCGAAATCCTGATAAATGAAATTGATTATTGGGGAACTAAAATATTGATTTATGCTTCTGTGGTGCAGGTTAGGTAGCTTTGATGACATCTAACATTGGGTCAACATCTTCAAAGCGTCTTGCTTGTTACTTTCATGTGGGTGGGAAGTTTGCAGAAAATGGTGATGGTGAAGTTAAGTACTATGGTGGAACTGTCAGGGTAAGAGTGATCAAGGAGGGTATAAGGCTTGAAGATTTGAGGGTTATGATAGGAGAATGGTTTGGTGTAGATAGTAATGGTTGCGACATTAAATACACATTGGGCTTGAATGATAGGATATTAATAGATCTTATTGATGATGATGAAGTTGACAACCTATTTGAGTATAATGATAGTAATGCACATGTATACGTAGCAGCTAAAGGTAATGAGAATACGGAGGAAGAAGTGGCTGATCGAAACAGGTAAGTCACAAGTTTCGGATTATGGAAGTTGTTACTTGCGATAATGTTGTTGTTAATATCATAACAAATGTTGTAATTATACATGCAGCATGTCAAAATTGTCAGGACTGTCACAGCAAAATGATGAGCCAATGATTGAGGATGCTGTCGAATGTGTGAATTACATAGCAGCTGAAAATGTTCTTAGCCTGCCATATGCAGTAGAGAGTGCACCAACTCCTTTGCCAGGAATGAATTCCCTGAAATGGAAAACAGTATTGTTAGGATTGAGGCAGACTTTTCCAGATGCGGATGATTTCAAGAAGAAACTACACAAATTCAGCATTGCAAACAAATTTGAGTATAAATATGTGAAGAATTCTAATGCCCATATGTATGTCAAATGCAATGTTGAAGGTTGTCCATGGAGGATCAGTGCAAGAGCAGCTGTAAAGAGTACTCCAGCATTTTTACGTGTAACGACATTCAAAAATGAGCATGTTCATAATGCCCAAGACAATCTTCATGTGACACATGGTAGATCAGCTAGCTTGACATCATCAATTATAATTGAAGAGGTTAGGGATCATATAGACATGCGTCCAAATGATATAAAAAAGAGGTTGGAAAGAGATTATGGTGTGAAGTTGACATATAAGCAAGCATACAGGGCCAAGGAAAAAGCGTTGGAGGACATACATGGCAGACCTGATCATTCTTACATGCTTATTCCATGGATATGTGACCGGTTGAAGGAAACCGATGACAAAACAGTGGCAAAATGGGTGGCTGCAAGGAACAACAGATTTGAGCGTGTATTCATAGCCTATGGGTGTTGTATAGAGGGTTTTATTGCTGGTGCTAGACATGTACTGTATATTGATGGAAGTCATTTAAGTGGACCGTATAAGGGGACACTACTTTCAGCGTCGGCTTATGATGCGGACAACGAATTATTACCTTTTGCCATTGCGATTGTGAAGGGAGAGACGCTTGAGGATTGGACATGGTTCTTACATATGATCAAGGAGATAATTGGGTCAATGCAATTAACAATCATTTCAGACCGACACAATGCAATTATAGGTGCTGTGCAAGCAATATTCGGAGGTGAGCGACATGCGTACTGTTACAGACATGTTAAGGAGAATTTCAGTACACAAATGATCAAGTTAAATAGAGGAAGAAGGAAGACAAGTGGCAACACAAGGGAGGATGGACTGCATTTCCTAGATGCCATTGCATATGCAAGGCTTGACACAGAGTTTGATCAAGCAATGGATAACATGAGACACTTCAATTCCCAATTATTTGAATGGCTTGTCAATCATGGTGATATTCACAAGTGGGCCTTAAGCAAGTTCCCTTTTAAACGATGGGACAACATAACAACAAACCTTGCAGAGTCATTCAATGCGTGGATGCTGAAGGAGAGAAGATATAATGTTGCCCAACTTATACATGAGCATCGTGAAAAAGTAGCCAAGAAGATGTATGCAGCAAGCATGGCAATGAGCAAATGGAAGAATGGTGTAGGCCCAAATACAAATGCAACATTGATGGAAAATGTGGCGAGATCTGCACAGATGTTAAGTGTTCCTTACGGAAGGGGTAGGGTGTGTGTCCATACAGCAAAAGGAGCCATTAATGTTGATCTTGGAAAAGGTGAATGTAGTTGTGCAGCTTGGCAAATGTCAGGCATCCCATGCCCACATGCATGTGCAGCTATCAAGGCCTTGAATTGCAATGTGTATGATTTTGTTGAAGAATGCTACAAGATTACGTCCCAACAAAAGATTTATGGTAGGACGATGACTCCAGTGGTGACAATCGACATGCCAAATCCTAATAACTATCGGCTGCAAGATATAGCAAGTCAAGTGTTTTTGGCACCACCTTTGACTAGTCGACCACCTGGAAGGCCTAGGATAAATAGGCAAGAGTCGCAGTTTCAAAACAAGAAGGTCTACCATTGTAGTGCATGCCAGCAAGTTGGCCACACAAGAAGAACATGCAAGAATCCAAACCCAACTTAAGGTTTCATGTCAATACCAACAGGGGTAATTTTTTTGTTATAGGAAAGGAATGACTCTTGAACCCTTTTTAATTTTTTTGGGAGAAGGGTTGATAGGTAGGCTATCTTTTTTGTTAATGATGTTAACTGGGTAGGAGATGTTCTGTAATCTGAATGACAAGAAAACATTAGGCGGTAGGTTAATCCTAATGTTAACTTGTCATTTGGATATCAGTTATGTAGCTTCTGTCATGGGCCTACTGGTTTTTAGTAAATATCATTACGTCAGTGGTCAATTCCATTACAGATATAGTAAAGTCTGAATGTTAATGTAAAAATCGTATGATGGGTAGGCTATCCTTTTTGTAAATGATATTCACTGGGTAGGATATGTTTTGTAATGTGAATGGGGACGAAACATTAGGTAGTGGGTTAATCTTACTGTTAACTTGTCATTTGAATATAAGTTATGTACCTTCTGTGATGGGCCTACTGGTTTTTGGTAAATATTGTCACTTCAGTGGTAAATTCAATTACACATGTAGTAAAGTCTAAATGTTAATGCAGACATCCTATGATGCTCTTTTGGTGTACTTCTATGCTATTTTGGCAACACAGATGACCTTTTGTTTAATGCCCTCAAGGGAGATGGTGGAAGTTGCCAATGGGTATGACTGGAGTGGTTAATGTCATCAACGATGTTGTTATTCACATTACCAATGTTGTTATTATCATTTCCAGGCTAGTGAAACTCCCTGAAAATATGTTACTTGACTTTGAAATAAAGGAAGTGGAAGTGGAAAAAGCAGAGTGGTAAATATCATCACTAAAGTTGCAATTAAATTACCCATGTTGTCATTATCATTACGGGGGTAGTAAAATTTCCTGAACAATTTGATGCGTGGGTTTGACTTAAAGGAACCGGAAATGGGAAAAGCAGACCGGTAAATGTCATAACTGAAGTTGCAATTAACATTTCCAATGTTGTCATTATCATTACGGGGGTAGTACAATTTCCTGAAGAATTTGATGCGTGAGTTTGACTTAAAGGAACCGGAAATGGGAAAAGCAGAGTGGTAAATGTCGTTACTCAAGTTGCAATTAACATTACCCATGTTGTCATTATCATTACGGGGGTAGTACAATTTCCTGAACAATTTGATGCGTGGGTTTGACTTAAAGGAACCGGAAATGGGAAAAGCAGAGTGGTAAATGTCATACGGAAGTTGCAATTAACATTCCAATGTTGTCATTATCATTACGGGGGTAGTACAATTTCCTGAACAATTTGATGCGTGGGTCTCAGTTAAGGAACCGCAAATGGGAAAAGCAGACTGGTAAATGTCATTACTGAAGTTGCAATTAACATTACCCATGTTGTCATTATCATTACGGGGGTAGTCAAATTTCCTGAAGAATTTGATGCGTGGGTTTGACTTAAAGGAACCGGAAATGGGAAAAGCAGACTGGTAAATGTCATTACTGAAGTTGCAATTAACATTTCCAATGTTGTCATTATCATTACGGGGGTAGTACAATTTCCTGAAGAATTTGATGCGTGGGTCTCAGTTAAGGGAACCGCAAATGGGAAAAGCAGACCGGTAAATGTCGTTACTCAAGTTGCAATTAACATTACCCATGTTGTCATTATCATTACGGGGGTAGTCAAATTTCCTGAAGATTTGATGCGTGGGTCTCAGTTAAGGGAACCGCAAATGGAAAAAGCAGACTGGTAAATGTCGTTACTCATGTTGCAATTAACATTACCCATGTTGTCATTATCATTACGGGGGTAGTCAAATTTCCTGAACAATTTGATGCGTGGGATTGACTTAAAGGAACCGGAAATGGGACAATTTCCTAAACATGGGGATGCAAATGGGGAAACCATAGTGGTAAATGTCATTACTATAGTTGCAATTTCCCTTAACAATGTTGTGATTTTCATTACCCAGGTTGTGAAATTCTGACAATTTATACGTGGGGACGAAAATGCAATTGCAAAAAGGAATAGCGAGGTGGTAACAATCATTAAAAAAGTTGTAATTTTCATTACCAATGTTGTCATTCTAGCGAAAATGGATTCAAAAAAGTGATTTGGGCTTGAAAGACTTCAGATGCAAATGGCAACAGCGATGTCGTAACTATCATTACAGAGGTTGCAATTCTCAATCCGAAAGTTGTTAATCCTATTACTTGTGTAGTTAACCTGGGTCCAAGTGGATGTAATTTGGGGCACAAATAATCAACTTGTGATTATCATCACGGAAGTCACATGGCATGTTGTAAATTTCATAACTCTTTTACTCAAATTATCCCAAAAAGGATTGCAATTAGGCCAACAACTGGCAGCCACTTAGACTTCAAACTACATAAGACTTCAAATATTAAGACTTCAAACTAACACTCCTTTTACAAATACTATATGCCTAATCTACATAATGTCTCCTCCTATCACAGATGGCGTCTTTTGGTCAGTGTGGTGGCTTGGGTTGATGAAAGCAAGCTTAATGCTTCATCACGTCTTGAATTAAGCTCATGATTCACTAGCCACCACATGAGGTTTCGTCGGAATTCAGCCACTTGTTCATCCGTATAGTGAAGTATCTCACCGGGCTTCCATTTACTCAACCATATTAATACATGAACACCGCAGTCTCGCCTGCACATCAAAACATACCAACGATGTAAAAGAATGAAAATAACACATTGGGCTACTTTGAGACGTAATAATATCAACAACATAAACCACTCACAGATTGTTTGTTGCGGAACAGGAGCCCAAATGATATCACTCATTTTCTTCTTCCCAGTGGCATTAGGCTTAACTATCTCAATAATGTCATAAAATCTATTCCTCTGCACAATATCATTACGCAATTGTAAATAAAAGGTAAATGAAATGTCAATCATAGAAGATGAGTTGCATTATCCTTACACATTCAGTGACGACGGTCGTCATGTCATCAATAATTACACCCTTCTTCTTGCTCTTCTTCTTACCCTCTAAATTTGGCTTCATTGAGTCCAGCACATAGAAATTCATTGTGCTAGGCTCAAGCACAACACAGAACCAGTGAGCGCCAACAAGTGTGGGTCCAAAGATCAAATCACATTCTCCTATGTTGTAGCCTACATTTTCAGGTAAAAATTGTTTCTTCCGTTTTGTAGCATCCCACAGCTTTGGGTTAGCTGCCATTATTGCCTGAAACATGAACATTTTAGTCATTTATCAATATCAATCGACAAAAAACTAACATCTCAGCAAGCTTACCATAAAATCAGCATAAAAAATGTGCCGCTTCACCTGCCCTTCCTTCTCCATATCAGCCATTAGAGTCTTGCACACAGTTGACATCAGCTGTACGCAAAGAGATTATTGTTTTGATGAACCCAAAATGCAGCATCTACTAAACAATTAAATGACCTCATCACAAATATTCTACTTACCCGGTTACCTATTTTCTCAATTCCGCCAAGTGTCCTTAGCTGATCCCGAGTGATATCTTCATCAGAGATTTTCACCAAAGGCCTAAAAATATGTTGTCAATATCATTATGCATATAGTCAATTACCACAAAATTGTAATGAATATGATTACGTGGGTAGTGGATATGTACATACATGTCACCCTCCTTGCTTGAACACATACGGGAAACTATGTCATAAAACCGGTCCTTGTCATCCATGGGCCTCTTTCGCCTCTTAGTTGGCTTTGTCAAAATCCATGGAGAATTGATAGCGGATTTCATCTCCCTTTGCGATCTCCGGAGTTGACATCCCTTGTCCATGGGGGACAAGGGCAGGGGAGACTCCATAATTTCTTTGTCTGCACCTTCTGCTGCAACACCAATGTCATCACCCCTATCTGAGCCAGTTGCATCATCGTCTCCCTGACCATCTCCCCCGTGGAACTCATCTCTATCATCACCTTCGTCATCAGACTCATGTCCATCATGATCATGGGAGTCTTCATCGCCAAATGCATCATCATCTCCCTTATCATCATCTGGGACGTCAATAGGGTCCTCATCATCTGTGGTCACATTATTTTCCTCTATCCTTATCTGCACCTTATCTAGCTCATCTTCCATTGCACTTATAAGCCTCATAGTGCTTAATTCGATCTGAGCCATCAATCGTCCGTGCAACTTCTGTAACTCCTGCAGCAAACAATTTAAAATGAGTAAACACTTTTTTCATGAGATTATTTGCTAATGAGAATGAAAATTAGTAATGAAAGCACATACCGGGTGTAAATGAGCCACACTTCTGCGTTTTCCTTCATCCTTCCCACTTCTATCCATACTTCCCTTGCCCTTATACAGTAAACCCCTCTTGCTTTCCCTCTCCTTCTTTTCCAGCTTCCTTATCCTCTCATCAGTCCAGAATTGAATGGCATTTAGGGACCCTCTCTCAACAGTTTTGGATAGTGGGAAGTGCTCAGCAAAATATAACTACAATAGTAAATCATTAACTTGCCAATTCCACAAATAAAGAAAACAATAACTTAGAAGCATAAGTCAGAAATACATACCAACAGGAGGTAGATGCATCCTCCCACATTGCAGCTTCCTTCATCTTCATCTTCGTCTTTCTTTGCTTTTGTGTACACTTTCACATAATCTCCCATCTCTTTCCACAAGTGCTTCACAATGTACGTGGCCCAATCAAATTGGTGAAATCCCTTCATGGTACAGCACATGACTCTTATTAGCTTGTCACTCACAGTTGTTTGTGAAGTAGGAGTTAAAAAACTCCCAAGTGTGTACAGCATAAACAGGAACTCAAACTCATCTTTCTTTTGCCCAGATTTAATGTCATTGAGTATCTTCGTATAAGGGACTTTACCAAATTCCTCCTTCAACCTCTGGTATGTCTCATCATCATCACATACGTCCATTTTTACCTTCTCCCCTGTGTGGGGTACACCCAACAAGTTTGCAACATCATTTGCTTCTATTTCCTTTATTATCCCTCTTATTAGAAATTGATGGGTAGGCGGATCATATGCTCGGAGAACACATACTATGAGGTCACGAGGGAGTCTCTCACATCCAATGTCAAGTAAATGGCCAAAGCCTAAATTTTGTACCCTCACTTTCAAATCTTCATCATCTTTTATGAAGTCCACTAATGACTTAAATTGCCGAACCGAGCAACGAGTGCTAAAAGCCACTTTTTTCTTCCTCTTCTTCTTCATCCCTTCCTTTCTTGATTGCTTCACCCTATCACTGTATTTCTTCTGCTCCTCTGGTGTCAACTGCTTCCATGCCTTTGATGCCTTTTTCGCTTGTTCTTAAACTTCTCCCCACCCTTAAGAAATTCTCGTCTAAACAAATGTAGCCATTCTTCACTTCTTCACTTGGCCCTCCTTCTACAACAAGCATAAATAACTAAATCTGGTCAGTTGAACAGCTCAACTTTCTTTGCATTTCAAAAAAGTTGTCATTACCATTTCCAGTGTAGTCATTCACATTATAGGTGTTGTTATTTAGCCACAAAATGAACCTCGACTATTTACTACTCATATAACTAAATTTGCTGATCACGTAATGAATGTTATTGCTTCTTTCTCACTTCACAGAACAGAGCAGAAAATAGAGACTAATGACATAATACACTTTAACAACAAACTAAAAACAATCTAACTTACCAAACCTATATAACTCAACCACTTAATTCCTATTACAACTGCATATTACCGTTTGTCGCAGTCACAGTTACTTCGCCAACCTCCTCCATGACAGCAATGCGATTGATGCTTCTCAGCACTTCATCGACCTCTACCTCTTCAATCCTCAAACCAGCAGATTAATCTCTACCTCTTCAATCCTCAGACCAACAGATTCAAAAATAAATAAATATGCATTAAAAGTGATTCTTTCTCGATGAAATGTTACAAAATTTGTATCTTCAAGTAACTTATATTATGGAAATTACTACTACACAGTGCCACAGATGACCAAGTAAATTATACCAATACATAAGAAGGCCACAAAGGTTATTCTCACTTGGTACATACTGAAATGAATATGCATGTTCATCCCCAGGTAAATTGCACCGCTAAATGACTGAGGTTATGCCCATTAGGTAGCTATATCTTCAAAACAGAGTTCTACCCACGAAAAGTCACCCCTTTCAATTTATTTTACAATGTTAAATTTGCATAACCAATATGGGGATACAGTTGAACTCATTTTAGTCCCATACACAATGCTAAAAATGTGCAATGCCCATTACACGAACAGACCAAACAAGGGGGCGGAAACAGGAAGCATCCTGCCTCATGTGCGACAGTGGTCTCAATTTATGGGCATCTAAAAAGTAGTGTAGCAATCATAAACACACACGTATATTATGCCTTCCAACATTACAGCAACACAGCAATCAGACAACAACAATCAGAGAGATATCTCGTCAAACATGGACCGAGTTATATGAATCAGAGCAAGCAAGCAACTTCTGTAATTCCGTCACACACAGAAGCACCGACTTTTAATCTAATCTACCTTTACATTCCATTTTAAGCCTTTACCATTGCTTCCCCCTTTACAACCAACATTCACCGTTTTCCCCAAATTAAAACACTCCAATCAGACAAGCACAAGACGGAGACATTTGGGTGGCTTACCGGGGTCCGAACGAATATCAACTTCTTCCTCAACCGGTGACGACCTTACAGGTGCTCTCCCTCGAAATCTCTCTCTCTAGCCACCCCCTCTCCCTTCTGAAGATTGAAGCTTCTCACTGGTTTATTGCTTCTCACTACGACCCACGGAAAAGACGAAGAAGCCGGACGCTATTCACATTCCTCGTTCACAGTTCCTCAACCATGCCAATGTGAGACTTGCGACAACCATATGCAGTTTCACCGAGTGCAATGTGAGAGTTCGGAGAACCCTATGGTCTATGCAGTTTCGCCGAGTGGAGAACCGCCAACCAAACTCCAGTTCCGTTGCACAATATCCCGCCCTCTGATTCCCGAAAAAATTAAGGGCATTTCAGTCTTTTGGGCGAATTACTCAAATTCCAGATTGATACCCCATACCCATTGTCATTTCAGTAATTTACATGCCCATTTTGTCATTTTAGAATTCAACAGTCATTTTCCCTATATATTAACAGTATTCTTCCTGACGTATTAATGGTTTATATATATATATATATATATATATTATAAAAAGTATTAAAATAACATAATATAGATAACTACTGAAACAAGAAGATGCGGGGGAATGGGGATGATTTCACCGAAAGAAAAGATGTTGGGGATGAACCACGGACGGAGACGGGATATCGGGAAAAACAAAGAAAAAGAGGCGGCGAGCTGGAAGCAACAGAGAGAAAGATATTTGAATCCAGGAGCTACAACCTTCGTGAGAGCCATCAACCATGTCAAGGAGTAGGAGAAAGAAGATGAAGATTGGGTGTCGGAGAGCTAATGAGGAACGTGGGCGTACAGGAATGGCAGTGATAAAATTGACCGAAAGTAAGAAAAAGTTTCTCTCCCCTCTAAAAACCCCTGATTTTGGGGGAAGAGTGAGGAGGGAGGGGGAGAGGAAAAGGACAAAAAAATTTCCCTCTCTTCCCCTCCTACTTTCTCAACCAAACACCATTGCTTCGTCCCTCTCCTTTCCTTCTCCCAAAAGCTCTGAAGAGTTTTAAACCACTAGATCTATGATGGAAAGTCCAAATTTAATACTTTGAGAAAATATTGTTAAAATATAAAAACATATTACCTTCAGTGCCTAATGTAAAATTAAAAACTAAATAACTTATTTATAAATATTTAAAAAATTAATTAAAAATTTATTTATAATAAATTGATGTTATCTTTTTAAAAATATTATTGTTAATTAGATCACTTATGAAAATTTCTTAATATATGTAATCACCATAATAAATATTTGTAAGCAAAATAAATAAATATCGAAAACCAAAAATAGTATTAGTTTTCAGAAAAATAATGGATTGTAGTGTTATTATATCTAGAATCAAATTAAATATCTAGCAAACTCTTATATCAAAAACCAAAAGTGATATTAGTTCTTTTTTCCCCCTCTGGAAAAAAGCGGTATTAGTTGAATCTAATCTAAGCCCTTTTGCGGTATATTTGACAATTCAGATCTACAGTGAACATTAAGTGAAAGGAAATGTTGTCATGGTTGACTCCCATTCTCTTTGATAGACATTGAAATAAGCTCATTGACCATTAAAGAATCTATTGATTTCAGCAAGGATGCCACACATTCCAATTACGATATTACAGAAATACTTTACCCAATATTCATTACTTTTTATAATCGCTACTGAATAATACACTTTCAAGAAGAATAATAGCAGTTATTTTGTATCTTTATATTTCTCCCTTTGCTATTAATGGGTCACCATTAGCTCATCTCTTTCAATTTACTCCTTTTCGTGTGACATTAGGAGAAATTGAACTCTTAACCTGCCCATACCCCTCTCCAGTCTCCACGATCAACAATTGTCATTTGAGCTAACTTCGGGTGACTCTTTTCAATCTAACTCTCCAATAATTACTAGTAATATTCATATTAATGGCACTATTTTAGAATACTAATTGCTTTGTAAGCTTTGCAAAATGACTTTAAAAAAAAAAAAGGAAAGCAGTGAAAGTTAACTTAAAAGGCCTCCAGCAATAGTTCATTTTCCATGTACGAAATTCAATTTTCCGTCTCCCAAAAATATGTGTTGCAACCATTGCGTTTTCATACCACTTCTTTTGATTTATTCCCGTGAAAGATGCAATTTGGCAGTATTTTCGGATTACAAACGAACCTTGGAGTGTAAATATAGTTGACGGAAAGTTATCATTTGCTGGTTTGGTTCGAGTTTACTGGCAGAAATGCAAATTAAGTGAGAGAAATTCGAATTTAAACCATCGTGTGACGCATTATATCCATATGGCTTTCCGGCAAATGAATCTTCATGCTCGTCCATGGCTTAATATTATGTCGCACGCATGTTGGAAAGAACTGCTACGAGGCACAGATGTCAGCACCCCCAGTGCTTTTGCTATTTTACCTCTTGCAAGAAGATATGAAGCTAAAATTAGTACGTAGAATCCATGAGTTAATCAACTCTGATATCAGGTCAAGAAAGGAAAATCATCTCTAGTGGTTCCCAGTTCACTGGTTCTGGGAAATACAGTGAACATTATAATAATGTGCATCTACATTAGGTTCTATCTTGTTGAACTGAAGAGCTGAAGGGAAAATCGCAGTTTTCTAAGTTTTCTTTCATCTGAAATGGCCTTACTTTAGTCTGGCCAAAAAAAAATAAAAGAAATAAATGGCCTTACTTTAGAATCTCTCTCTCTCTAACAGGCGCGCGCGCGCACAACTACAGAATTTTTTGTACTTGATTTTTCATTTTACTACTTTCCTGAGTTGAATTAGGATTGATTAGCAGTCCTCAATTACCCCTGTTTTCCTCCAGAGATGTAGAATTTGGTCAGCGGGGAAGGCAGATGATGGTTTGCTCCAAAATTTTTCGAGTCTGGTATAATCATCCTCAATTATCCTCTTAATAAGTAACGTGAACATCTGCAGACAACTGAGACAATAGCTTCAAAAATTGGAGGTAGTTGTTTCATCAATCTCCTGTACATTTCAGTTGTTTCTAAACGAGTACAAAAAGAGACTCCTCCCCAAGTAAAAGCAATTTTGTTCATCCAGTTTCTCCAAGGTTCATGGCGGTTAACCTATTTAATTCAACCTGATCCTCTATTCGGCTCAAAGCTCTGGAGAAGTTACTGCCTGCAAATGACAAGGTATCTTCTTTCACAAGGCGCCTTTCTTTTATTCTCAATATACCCTGAGAAACCTCACCAATGGAAGGGCGTTTCCTGGGAGATCTGTGCAAACATTTATAAGCAATTTTAGCAAGCTGCCTTACTTCCTCAAGGTTGCATTTTCCTACAAGTTGTTTGTCAAGTATCTCATCTACGCCATCATGTTCCATTGCAGCCTTACAGAAAAAAGATGAGCTAATTAGAAGAAAACCAAAAATCTAGGAGCATGGATTACAATGCAAGCATCAAGGGACGCTCTATTCATGGCATAAAGAAAAAAGAAAGAAATTCTCACAAGGTTAATATATTCCATCAAATTTTGGTGAGGGTGAATGGCTGTAATGAGCTCAAAAATGATGATACCAAAACTGTAGATGTCACTCTTCATTGTGAACTTGTTTGAGGAAACGTATGCTGGGTCCATGTAGCCGTATGTACCTTTAAGGCCTGAATTCCGGCCATCAAAGACCTCTTCCTTTGACAACCCAAAATCAGCAACCTGCAAAATCACAAATTTGGAAAATAGTTGATATCTCACGAACATAATAATCATAGATGATTCGTACTGCAGCGTTCACAGTCACAATAAGTTCTTATTATTCTGATTGTTACGCTGAAGTTATCACAAGAATGTGCAACCATGGCGTGTCAGAAAGTCATATTACATGAACTTGCAAAAAGGCAAACCGCTTCGCATGTACAAGATGGGTATAAACTTGAGAAGAAGAAAAAAATAGCTATGAGGTAAGAACAAGTTTGGAAAAATCTTATTTATTATTAAGCAGGAATTTGCTCGTTAGTGATAAAAAGTAATCTCTCACAGCAGCATCTCATTAACAGAGTTATATTACTTCTTATCTCCAAAGTAAAATTGAAGAGGAAATAGGTGAGGGCAGAGGAGGAAGGGAGAGCAGTGGCCTAGAAATGCTAGTCAATTGGAGCAATCAACACCTATTAAAAACATATTTAAATAACTTTACGTATGCATATCATCTCTCTCTCTCTCTATATATATATATATATATTTATAAAATAAAGAAAGGAATGTAGGCTAGGTGTGAGGTATATGACCATGATCAGCAATGCATTTGGTAACTTCAATGGTAAATTCTTTTTACTTAGCAACTAACAAAAAATTTGCCCTTATAAAATCTCTTAAACAAATGCTTTTGAAATTCTTCTTTTATTAGTGAAAGTTGATAGATTTCTAATTCCTTGGATCACAATAACTTGGAGGATTGAATATCATAAGAAAATTTTAGAATCCACATTGGTAATCTAATATATCAAAACACACGGGCTCAAAGAGAGCTTACCTTAGCTCTCATCGAATGATCTAACAATATATTGGCAGACTTCAAATCACGATGTATAACGGGTGGTACTGCCTGTCCATGCGTATTGATATTAAACGAATGTCTTTCACAATGTGTATAAGAAATATAAAAATAATAAAATAAACATACTCCTTCGTGAAGGTATTCAATTCCATGTGAAATATCAATAACAATTTGAAGCCTTTCGTTCCAACTCAAAGCCTTTACATCACCTAGAATAAGGGAAGGTATTTTAAAAAAAAAGAAGAAGAAGCATATTCTCATGTGTGTCTCAGCTAGGGACAAAATAAAAAAACAAAGGAAAAGTATAAATTACCCCTGACCTTCAGAGCATATTCAAACACCCCCTTCAACATCAAAAACAATAAATTACCCCCCTACACTATAATTCTTTAGCATATGTGAATGTAGGGATCCTTTTTTTTTTTTTTAATATTTTAACTGCCCATGCTCACTTTTAAACCAATGGAGGCATACCATGTGACAAAGGAAAGATGTGAACCGACATCCTCGTAGATGGGGCAGTTTTAAAAGCAGGAGGTTGAAAGTTTAAAAGACTAATGTTTGATTCTCAAAATTGAAGGGATGCATATGCATTTTTTCCCATCGAATGATGGTTTACCAACAAAATGCTAGAGTAAATTGATTATTTATTTCCTGAAACATTCTTTTTTTTTTTCAATGTGGTCCTCCACATATAAAATCCCTCAACCTAGCTTCTTATCCATCAAAAGATAAAGTCTCCTAATTTAGTCCAAAAACATTTTTCCCTAATCAAAGTTAACACATTGTCAAGCAAAAAGAGAACCACATGTGACCAATAACGAGTGATACGAACTTGCCCAGGTGTCTTCAACTTCAATCCCCTAAACAACATTGGTCGTGTTAGAGACTTGGAGCTTAACTATAGTGCATGAAAGAGTTACAAATGGTTAATGAAGGACCAATTTGATTGGGGAACTAAATTGAGAGGCTGTATCTCTGGAAGATCAAACTAAAAAAAAAAAATTCCATTTATCGTTCCATTGGATGGGGATAAGTTAGTCTCAATATACAGTTAACATAACAATAAAAGTTCTTTAGAAGAAGAAAAGATGTTCAACTTACTGTATAAAAGGTTTGACAAGCTTCCATGGCTCATGAACTCATAAACCAGAATACGCTGTCCCTTATCTACACAATATCCTACTAAATTCACAAGATTCCGATGATGCAATCGTCCCAGCAAAAGCACCTGTAACATTAGAAAAGAAGGACTTAGTTGCCTAAAGATAGATTTAAATTGGTCATATAGGTTCTCAAACAAAAACAAGTTTCGCAAGTATGACAAAACCAAGTTGAATTGTGGCCCTCCTTTGCAATTTCAGACTAACAATAATGTCTTCTTCCGATGAAAAGAAGGAATTAGTTGCCTCTGTAGGCTATCATGTGCCCACCATGATAATCACATCGAACAATGTGCTTACAAACTCCAAGAACTCCTTAGGTTACAACATTCAAGAATGATGACCAACACAAGAGTTGCACTAACTGACACTATATAACTTGACTGAATTTTTAAGTTAACATGAAAAAGAAACTGTTCAAAACACGGGCTAATTAAGACCGATTTAAATTATCCCGATGCATAAAGTTCCTTCAGATTTGCCTAAACAATAAACAACAACCATCAAATCATCTATGATCTCTTGACCAAACCAAACAATTAAAGATGCTAGGAACAAGACAAGGAAAGGAAACAGAAATTATAGAATCTTTTTCAATGATATTTAGCCTAGCATCAAGATCAAGGTAGTTGTTCGCTCACACCTCTGTTTGGAATTCTTTCTCCCCTTGTTTAGAATTAGAGTCAAGCACCTTCACAGCTACCACCTCTCCTGTAGGCATTGTGGCTTTATAAACTGTGCCAAATGATCCTTGTCCCAAAATAGTTGTGAAATTCTGTGTAGCCTTTTGGATCTCTCTGGATATATAAAGGATCAGATATACCATTACCAATGTTAAATGTCTCTGTATAAGTTATTTTATATGCAATTCCCTGTCCTACTCTTTTTTTTCCTTTTACTATCCTGTATCACACTATGAAACTTTGTTATCAAGAGACAGCAGAACCTTCACCAATCCACAAACAATCAAAACATTTTAATATCAACGACTAAGAAGCTTTTCATTCCAGTAATAGCTATTTAATAACAAAGTTTTGAAGGAAAGAAATAGAGAGGACAAAAGAGAGAGATATAATACATACTTGTATGAGTACTTTGAAATGCCAGATGTTGGAGAAAATCGATCTTTGTTTTGATGACTCCACCAAGAGACATTGGAGTTTCTTTGCAGATTTTCTGACATCGAATTGGATATGGAACTTGTAAGAGAGGCACTAAAGTCAGTGCTTGTTCCTAATCCATTTGTGCGTATTGGAAGAGTGGTTAAACTACTCTCTTTTGCAGAATATGTAAGACGAGCATGCTTCTTATACCACCTTATCCCAAAAAATATAAGGGAAGCGATAAAAATTCCAAAGGCCACGCCAACTGTAACACCAATGATAACTAAAGTAGCTTGGCGAACCATTGTTTGACCTCCCTTGATGTAAACAATGAAATCATCTTGCAGAAGACTGGTTCTAGATAGGTCCACTGTCACAAAATTGACATTATTTTAAATTTAATTCAGGACTCCATCCATCAAGAACTAACAGACTTGACATTCAAGATATTAAGTAACATGAGTTCTTATTATATTTATTTTTCTGTCTCCAGGAGGGAGAGAATAGAGGTACAAATAATTACATTGGCTGTTCATTTGTTGCAAACGTAAACATACCATAAGTTGCTGCTAATTTCGAGTGTTGGAGTTATATGGTTGGAACTACCTCTCATGCCAAAATATGGAGGAGAGTGCCTCACAGAACCACAACAAATTGCAAGAGTACCTTGAGAAATACTTATCGATATTAAAATATTTTGATGTTCTCTTTAAGTATCAGCATCACAACTATGACATAAGGAGAGAATTTGATGGGGACACCTTGATTATGACACTGAAATTCCGCAGCAAATATCCATAAATATTAAGAGAAATTACCTGAGATGCATAGCTGGAGAACATATTAAAGAAATAAGCACCAATTGATATGCATCTCAGCATAAATCAAATTTTATTAGTTTCCCCAACAAAATTTGTCAACTAATTGGAAAGATATACAGATTTGATGGTTTATGATCACACTGTAGTTTTGCAGCAAAGGCTTCAGCAGATAGTTATCTATTCACAAACTCATCAACCGTACCCCCCAAAAAGTGACTGTTTTCAGAACACATCAAAAACCAAAAAGAAAAACGAGCGAGCAACAAAAATCCTTCCGGAACAAACAAGCCCCCTACAAGAAACAGAACAATCCACAAAGCCCAACAGAAGAGAAACAAGGAAAAGCCAGAGTCAATGATCGTTTCAAAGAGCATGAAAAGCCATAACGAAAATCAATTCGTACCAATTCAGCAGAAAAACGCCACCATAATGGAATAACCACTTTTTGCATGAACCACGATCATGAACTCGAACCCCGTCCAATTTTATGCGTGTTTGGGAAGCAGAGTAAACGACATGGATTAAGTAACGACCAAGAGGTGGAAGAAAGAAACTGACTTTTGAAAGCAAAAGGGAAACTCAAATAGCACAGGCAAGCGTGAGTTGGAGCGGGACGGAAATAAAAAGAGAAACGCGGATTTGGTGGTCATGACGGCAGTGGAGTGGCTCCAAAATTTAAAGAAAGCACGGAGCCGGAAAATGCATTGCTACCATTTCATTCTGTAGTAATATTGGATGTCCTTGTGGGCCCACGCTTAATTATAATACTAGGGAATACTAAAAAAATTCATAAAATTAATTATTTATAATAAATAAGTATAATTTTTTCTAATATATATTTGTCAATCATGTGTATTAAAATGAAAACTCTTTAATATCTACAACCATCACGAGGACTATTTTAAAAATAAATAAATATAAAAAAACAAAATAGATTACAATTTTATATTTAGAATTAAATTAAATTTTTAATTAGTTTTTATAGTTAAGATCAGGGATAATATATGTCAGCTAATAACTTAAGTAAATTAATTTGAGAAATGTGACAAATATAGGAGATAAAACGAAAAAAAATTTTAAATTTATATCAAATCCAAGCCTAACAATCTGTATCATGAAAATTGAAAAGAGGTAGATAAGTTATTTTACTTAAATCAAGTGTCTCAAATTGATTATGTTAAGTTTTTTAATCGCTGCCATGTGTCCTTTGAAAAATAATTGCATTAATGCATAGGGCTATCCGCCTTTCAAACATACCTGTTTGCCTGCCTCCTAAAGCCTGCATGATTTTTGATGTTGCTCTTTGGTCTGAATCTTCAGAGAAAGCGAGACGTCCTTAGCATTTGGTCATCTTCCTCAAAAAGTTGGCATCTTGCACCGTATCCTCCCTCATCTGGGATCTTTTTTTTCTTTTAAGTAATTTGAAATTCTGGGACTAAAAAATTTCTTTCTATATCCTGAAATAAAAATATGATAATAGATATTCAGTATAAATATAATGTAACGTGACGGGGACTAATCGTTAAAAAAATTTCATTTTATATGTCATATAATTTCATCAAGGAATATAATGATATGTAAAACGAATTACTAATTTCTGTCCTAATCATGAGAGCTAGTTGACTAATTTAGAAAAATTAAGAAAAAAAGTTAAGTTAATTATTTGTAATAAATAGGAATTGTCTTTCTTAAAATATCCTTGCTAATCAAGTGTGTTGGCTAGAACTATTATTATTAAAAGGACAACCTTAAAAAAAATACATAAATATGAAAAATAAAGTGAATTGAGATTTTATATTTATAATTAAAATAAAAATTAAATAAAATCTTATATTAATAACAGGACATAGTAGTTAATTATTGCTCTTGCCAGCTTCTAATGTTGATTGTGGCGGCTAGTGATTGACCTAGTTGGACGCAACTTGAGCACTCAATTACGTCATACAATTTTTTTGCGTATTATTTTCATGTGATAATACACTGACTTCTACAATGATTTTGACTTGTTATTATGCGAACCGAAAATCATAATCAATTAGAATCCACTTGTTATTATGAGCAACTAAATCCTAACATGTTAAGAATACATTTAGGATTTTAATTTTTACACATAGCCAACGAATAGTTATTTTATGGTAACTTTAGACTGCCAATATATTATATTTTATTACAATATATTGATTGAAACAAATATTTTGTGGTGAACAATAAAAGAGATGGCGTCATCATTCGCCTTCTTAGTTTTATTTGAAATATTTTCTTGACCGAGCAAAAAGAGAAGAAAATCCCAAAAAAAACAAAGAAGAATCCCAGAAAAAAAATTTAAAAATTATTAAATCTCAAATCAAATTTGATAACATTTTAATAGATTTTGACAATACTTAATTTATAAATGATAATATATATTTTTAATGATTTTTTATTTAGGATTTAATAATTTTGAACTTTTTAAAAAAAAAAGATTACCTACGATAATTTCATTGAAAACGTGAGTCGGTAGTAGAAAGTTTTTACGTGGTCCATCACCTGTTAGGGCTATGCATTGAAACGGTGGCATTGACTCTCATATTCTATACTAACTCGGTTCTAATCATTGTGTGTGGCCCGACGCCCCTGTCTCTTGTATAGGTCTAAATTCCCACCTACCAAATCATTATTTATCTATTTTTCCTGCACTAACAGAAAAATAATACAAACGTTTTTTTGAAAAAAAAAAAAAAAGGGCATCCACGCCCCATAAGCTTCCGAGAAACTACTCCCAATATATCTAGCAAAATTTCTAGTATTTAATTAAGATTATATATGTCAGACACCCTGAAAGCAGAATGGTCACAGGCTCACAGCTTTGAGGGTCCGTACCAAACGAGGAAAAATAAGAGGTGGAGGGAAGAGAAAAATTTTAATAAGTTTGATTTAAAAAATTAAGAAAGTAAGATTAAAAGCTTTTAACTAATTTTTATTACTCTTTTATAGTACTACTTTTTTTTATTAAAATTTCAAAACCCCACTTCTTTAATTTTTTTAAATTGAGCTCATAAAGGATATATTATGAAGATTCAATGATGTTCAGCAATCATAATGCATTTTACATCTATGATTCTAACGGAAACAAACCACAAAAAGTCCTATAGCTGTCTCTTGTCACTGATAAAAAAAAAAAAAAACAAACAACAACAAAAGGCTAAGCCAAAACTTATTTTCTTCTTCCTCCTCTTCAGTTTCTAGGCTCATGATTGTTGATAGGTGGCTTGCCGTTGGCCATTCCCTTGTAATCCTTATCCATCAGATTCACGACCTCATTTGCAACCTTAATAAGGTTTTTAGCTTCATCTTTCTCAGGATGTTGTTCTTCAGTCATTTGTCTTTCAGTAGGCCTTGAAGGATTCTTCAACCTGCCTCCACCTGCCACCTTTGCATTAGAATATTGCAAACAGAAACACTTTGGGTTCTTGTCGCAAAACTTATTCCTTGGAATTACAAAATTGATGCTTTTCGATGCCTTTGGCTCCAATATGGTCATATGCTCCTTCTGTGGAAATTATTGAAATTAATGTTGGGTCTGACGTTTATTTTTTACAATAAACAAGTAGTGAATTTGCAGAAGATTATTAATATTCTGTTATCAGTAGAGAGAAGGTACACTAGAGACAAGCTCTATAAATGAGCCATTAACAGTAGGGAATTACTTCATATATTGAAAAATCAGAAAAGAACTACAATAAATCTAGAACCTGATAATTCATTTGAACCAGTAAGTTCGCCGTAGACTTCTTCAAAGCATCATCCTCCTTTCCTGAAGGACCGAAGCAGACACATATGATGAGCCACATTAATAATTTACATGGTAAAGTGCTAGCACATCTCTGTATATGTTTAAGGTATATACAACTTTCCTATGTAAAGACTTAGCACAAAGATATGGGTTTTGAGCATCCAATTAAGTCTAAGAAATTGCAGTAAATGAATTTACATATGAAAGAAACACACGTACAAGCAAGACATTAAACATGTCTTCACAGCCAAGCTGGAGCCAATAGAATCACAAAGGTTTCGATTCCTTCACTCACAGGTGAAAGCTACAAAACCCGCCCTTAGGAACTTCCTGTGGGTGCTAGTTTTGCCCCCACGCTAAAGTCAACTTCTATATCTCCTTCCCTTTCAAAGTTATATACTATTCTCAAAGCTAGGTTGCAACTAAAATCTTTTAAATCCTCCTATGTGCTTCTTTCATTCTTAAAAACCATACTCGGCTCTTTCTGGGCCATAAGGTTGCTTTCCCCTAGCCCTAGCCTCCTCATGTGAGCCGCTCCAATTCTATCAGATAATCCCTGTGAACGAAATGTAATGGATATCTTTACTGATAAAGACATCAAATCTACGATATGTCATGAGACGATAGATTAGTAAACAAACCAGTTATAGTAACCTCAGGTATGTTTACTTTCCTTCCCAGACCTGCAGTTACAGCTTTGAAAATCAGTTCACTCAATCTTTTAGTTTGATCTTGTTGAAGGTAAAATAATGAAGATGACGAAATGATTATTTTACCCACAAAAACTCTTGGTGACAGGTCTCCCAGCGCATTTGTAACCAAGAGAAACCCTAGTAAAAAGCTAGCCAGCAATCTGCGCTTCATCTTTTGATTGATTATTCTTCTCTTGGGGTTGTAGAAGTATTGTTCAACTGAGAGAAAAAACTTAACAGGCAGAACAACCTTGGTTTTACTTTAACAGAGCTAGCATGGATTCTGACATTTAACCATTATATTAATCCTTGGTATGTGGAATTTTTTTTTTTTTTTAAAAACCCATAAAACAGATTAGTAACAATAAAATATTCAAATATAAATTTTAAAACAAAATAGGAGGAGAGAAGTGTTCTGAATTTCAAGTATGAATGTGGTTATCTGGTTTGAACTGAAGCAAACTGAACAAAGCAGTTAAAACTAGTCATTTGATCTTACTCTGCATGTATTGTCTGCTCTGGTGCCTGATGAAAGCATAATATATAAATGAAGCTACAGATCACATGGCATATGGATGAAATATACAATCAGTCTGATCCTCTTGTACCCTACTAATAAGGTCATTTGAAATGCCAGAGTCGGTGCATGACCGCATTGCTTTTAATATTTGAGAATCTTCCACTTTTCCTGTCATATAATCCAAGCACCTGACCCTGAACTCCGTTTAGCATGTCTATGTTCAAGCCAGATCAGCTCAGACAAAAATCAAGATACATCAGATGTATTATACGATATTCATTCAAAATCATGCATCAAACTACAGATGATCTTAATTTAGAACCTAGATGATTGTCGTTTAATATATTAAAGTAAATTGAACTGAACCACCATAAGCTTTCTGAAAGATTATTAACCCATGGCCTATTCATGAGATTCTAGTCGGTAAACAGAGATACACAAGCAAAAGAATAATGAAGGCACATTATCGTTCTTCTTCCTTTGGATAACTTAATATCAATAAAAACTAAAAAAATCTCTCTCCCAACTAGCAAGCAATGAATTCAATGTTTCTGTTGATGTGCAAAAACACAGAGAATGCAAGGTCCAGTCCGCATTAAGCATGTTCAATGCGTTAGCTGCAAGTCTTTTAACCTTGCGGCACTGGTTTTATACACTCTAGATGTCAGCGAGTTCA